TTTAGATTGTATTTTTAGGAAGCATAAACAAATTGATGACATTTAGTTGAGAGTTGAAATGTTTTGTTGCAATGTATGTGAATGATATTTTTTTTTGCATAATTTAACGTTATATATCTAATTATAGTTTAGTATAATATCCGCCACTGTTTAAAAATGGTAAATAAAAACCTAAATTTAAATTATTTTACCACCATTTTTAATAATTACGCTATTGTGGAGGATGATATGTATTGTATTTAACATAATTTCAGTTTTATGTGTAGTTTCTGTTAAATTTATTAGCATATGAAAATATGAAAAAGAAGAATGATCTGAAAGTAATGCATTTTTTGATATTCTCTTAGGAGACGTTTATGCTCATTAGTGATAATAATTTTCGGGGTTTAGTTGAATCGGCCGAATATGTAACACAATTATTAGTGATACTGATAACGTTATATTGTCATTACGCACAGATATAATTTAATCTCCTTGACATATATACGTTATGTAATAAAAATTGTTTAATAAGATTAACTGCAAGCCGAAACGATAATAATAATTTCGAACCACTGTGTAAAAATATATAATAATAATAATATACTGTAGGTGGTGTTATACGTTTGTTTGTTGTACTGGGCGTATGTGATAGCTAAAAAAACAACAATAAATTCACCCGTGTAACCGACCTCGGATTAATAAAACGAATAAAAACGGTGAAAACGCAATCGGGGGATGGTGGGAAAAAATCCAATTTGGTATTTTTGCTCACTAGCAAACTACGGCTCTAATGAAATTTGGTGGATGCCACGTACTCAATCACCCTCACCGACCAAAGAACTTTTATTCATATATATATATATATATATATGTATGTATGTATAGGTATGCGATTTTTCCCTTTTTTTTTAAAAAAAAAACATTCCCATTATTACATTTTTTTTATTATTATTATTATTATTGCCAAACCAACATGATGTTTCAGGAGATATTTATCCATTGAAGAATAAAAGTAATATTTGTATTTATAAGTTTACAAGTGTAAGTTACGGTAATAAGCCCTTTAATGATTTGGACAAGGTCTTTCCGCAGTTGTACTAATTTTATTTAAGCACATAAACCACTCTTATACAACATATGTTCTTGCATTCACTGAGATTTGCCATCAATAATTTTATAAAAAAAAAAGTAGATTATGTAAAACGTCCTTGATTTACTATACCAACGAATGGATGTATTTCAGTTTTTGTGAAATTTAAAGAAAAATATTTATACACGTATTTTGATTCATGTTTATATGAACAATGATATTATTAATAACTATAAGATTTTAGATTCATCTATGCATTCGCTGTTTCTGCACAAATATGTGATTAATGTAATAGTAATCTAGTGTAAATAGTTTAAATTTATTATTTTTAATTTTATTTACCAAGCTAGTGCTTAATTTAATCATCGAAATTGTGTTGTATACTGTAATCTCGTTTATATTTGATTAATGATTTGTCAATTATCGCTCCATACAATGATCTCCATTCACCAGATATCAAACCGATAAAATATATTAAAATTATATACTATCAAAAACACCACGGAATTTTGATAAATTTTCACACAGCAGTTCATACGCATATAATTCAATTAGATTAATAACTGTATTACCTTCACCTACTTTTCCTTAACGGATGAGAGCAAAATAAACCAAAATTGCTCTCATACTGAACCATTTGTATTCATGTTGCACCCGAAAAAATTTAAAACCTTTTTTAAATAAATTTATTAAATAACATTTAGATAAACAAATAAATGCCTAGAATTATTTTTACTCTAATGTATATTTCCAACTTTATACTGATTTTAGAAGAATTATAACTCGATTAAATTGCATACATATATATGTACTGTATTTCAGAGAATACTAACAAATAACTGACATTACAAGGTTGAAATTGTTTTGTTTATTTAAATATATCCAAGTTTTCCTCCAAAACGTATATAATATATCTAATAACATAGACACGTAATACTAAGAGAACATTATAAATACAAAAAAAAATCCAGGAGATGTCTAATACAATATATGATAATTAACCAAAAATTATATTGTTTTTTTCATTTTTCATACACTCGTAAGTACAGTGGAACCTCGATAAGTCAAAATAAATTCCATTCTCTTGAAAATGCCCGATTACCCTAAATAATAACTTTAGATAACTCGAACATTTTATGTTCCGAATATAAACGGATATATTTTATGATAATCTGTCGAATCAGCTTGTGAATTCCGATAATTTTACTTAATCACGTTTATTGTGTTTAATATTGTATTTTTCATTCGGTTTATTGTCACAACATTCTAGAGATGGTTAACAGTGACTAAAGTTGGTCAACGCGACGATGGTGACAACGAATTCATCATCACAACGATTTTTAATGGTAACTCGTTACCATTCGTTTCTACAACGGACACCATTCATCATCAAGGTCGTAGAATGTAGATATCCACAAAATTTCTGAATACTACATTGTTGTTAATATCACAAGTTAAGTCACCACTCACTAGTTACCATTTTTTTTTCCATCGTCTCAGTGACTAACAGCGACACTGTTGTCCCTCATTACTACTACATTAAATATTGTCAGTTGCAATCGATTGCTTACACGTACGTATGGCGTAGAAAAAAAAATACCTCGTAATTTAAAAAAATTGATTTTTGGAGAAAAACAAATAGTCCTTGAAGCAATGAAAAGTGACAGAAAGAAAAAATATATCACTGAATAATTTGGAATACTAGTTAACATACTATCCACCATAATAAAAAATAGTAAGGAAATTTATTTGAACTTACCAGCAGACTTTTTGGAAGAGGAAAAGAGGTTTTGGTTTTTCAAATATAGAAGAAGGTGTAGTTAAGTGGCTCAAGTAATACAAAGATGCCAATCTCAGTATAGGAGGTACTATTTCAAAAGAAAATACAGAAAATTTCATAAAATCATTAGATCACAAACAAAATAAAGCTAGTAACGGGTGGCTCGAAAATTTTAAAAAACAGCAAAATATCACTTTACGAAAATTATGTGGTGAAAATATAGCTATCAATGATGATGTTGTATATTTGTGGAAAATATATTTGAGAGAACTACTTGAAGGATCATATGATATATTTAATGCAGACGAAACTACACTCTTTTATAAATGTATGCCAGATAAAACTTTATCATTCAAAAATTAAAAATGTAGCGGTGATAAACGTAGCAAAAAAAGACTTGCACTATTATTGGTTGTTAACATAACTAATACAGATAAATTGAAACTTTTAATAATCGGAAAATCAAAAAATTTTGCTGGTGTCAAATCTTTTCCCGTTGAACGCATACGAATAAAAAAAGCATTGATGACTAGTGAATTGTTTACGAATAGATAATCAGATGAAAATTCAAAAACACATATTTTTAGTGTTTATTGACAATTGTCCAACTTACAGTTTTATACCAAATTGTCTAGCTGTAAAGGTAACATTTTTACCACCAAATATCACTTAAAAATCACAACCTTTGGATTAAGAAAATGTTCAAGACACTTTATAGAAAATAAATAATGACGAAATATCAACTATAATAAATAGTCTTCAAGCTATGCGCATTGTTGATAAAACGTGGAGAAATTTATTAACATCAACAATCGTGAACTGTTTTGTGTGGATTTATAATTAAAGCTGAGGAAGACGACACATTAATACTTATATTCAGAAATACTGTTAGTTTGATAACAAACTAAAACATTCTTTGTAATAAAACAAAATAAAAACGTTAACCCATATGTATAAATATAAAATAAAATACCTGTTTAACGAGTGCTCTGGGGAGTGAAGTTGCTCATAACTATTCATTAGATTTTGATAAAAGCACGGCCAAACGTAGACGCACATAGGTATGTAATGAAATTACACACGTGTGTAACCGACCATCAAAATTCGTAAAAGGGATTTTGCTAGAAAGCTCAAGTTAAAGATTCTATTCTTAAATTCTATTGATGCTCTATGTTGCAATATTAAACTTTTCAAACAATAAACAAGTGTAATGCGTGAATTACAATATTCTAAAGGTCTATGAATTTAAGCACAGAAAGTTTGATTTTAACAAAAATAAATATTTTATCAATTTAACTACTGCAAAAACCCCATTCTAATAGTCTAAATAATTATTAAGCTATTAGATATAAAATTGTCATTTACTAGTCGACAGAACGATTCTGCACCTAGAGACGATTGTAAGACAATATATACGTCATTATAGATTTTCAACTTGCGCAGTGTTTTTTAATCAATCCGAACTGTGTTATTCAATATTTTTTAAAAATATTATCAATTTAGTTTTAAGACGTACACATTCCTCCGTTCAACAAAAAGTCTTAATTCCATTGATTTCTATTCTACATACTCGTAATAAAATTATACTCCATAATATATCCAAGTAAAATAACGATTTTGTTTTTGTTATATTACATCTTTGCTGTATATACATACAGCAAATGTTTCCCATTGTTTATTTTTGTGATAAATTAACCACATTTATTTGTATTTTGTAATTTAACATATAAATACTAATGTTGTTGTTTAACCTTTTATTCTTAACAATTGTTTCGGCAGAAGGCCATTAAAATTCGTATTAATTAAAAGTCAATTATGGTTCACGATAATAAAAAACTACTAGTCGTTTTATTACAAGTTTGAGTAACAGTTACTTCCTAATCGAGTTATTGAAGTGTAGTTTAGAGTTGTTTATTTTTAATTCAAACAGTGCCCACGGTCGGAAATCCAAAAAGCTGTTATTACCTACACAAATGATCTACCATTGAAATACAGCGTTTTATTGCACCTAGAAAGTGGTGGTCACTGTATCCTATGCATGGCGGCTGGACATTTCGGTAAAAATCTGCCTACATCATCGCGGTGCCATAACTTCGACCCTTGACGGAAATGTGCCACGTACACGGCATCAGGTATGAATATATGTACCTGCAGCGGCCACGGCGACGGCAGCGGCAGTTATGCCGGCGATCAGTGCCCGGTGGTGATGATGGTCGGACGGCAGAGGTGACGTTCGGGTCGGTGACGACTTGGACGTGGTGGACGGCAACTGAATCCGGCGGCCGTTTTCGCGTTCCACGTCGGCGGTTTGCTGGAGCTCCGACACTGGCGGTGGCACGGGTGATGCGGGCGGCGATCTCGAGTCGTTCGGGTCGACGACCGGTGACAGCGAAGACGCACGCGAGTCCATCGGTCACTCGGGTACCTCGGGCAGACCGGCGAGTTGATCGGGACGCCGGTGCCGGCAGCAGGAGGCGTTGTTGGCACGCGGGCGACGACGCGCGAAGGGTTTCGGGAAACGGTACGGGCGAAGAAGGCACGACGGCGGTGGCCGCGCGGCGTGCTAAGGAGAACGGTCGACGGCGACGCGGATTTCTTCAACTGGTCCGCACGCGGTGGCGACGGGAACGCGTTATCACGCGCGATTACATGGCGATTGCGCGCCCGCCCCGACCCCTCGGGATCCCTCTCGCACCGCGGCCCGGTGCAGTAGTCGCGCGCGCGCCGCCGTTATCGACACTAGATCGGAACACAATGCTTGGGCGCGCGCGCGCGCGTGCCAGTGCTGCGAATATATACGTGTGCGTGGTGTGCGTGCGCTTTCGGCGAGTGAGAGACCGACAGAGACACATCCCTGCGCTGGAACGCGACCGTATACCGGTACACACGTAAGCGTGGTGCACGACGCGCATTGCCGATCGTCCGTCCCCTACGCTCGCGGTTGCCGGGGTGACGGGCGCGCCGGCAGTGGTCGGTGTTTTTTCCCACTTCCGGAGGTGGGAGGGGGTCTTATGGTTTTGCGGACGGCCATTGGGCGTATGGGCGGCGCTCGTCCCGGCGGTTTATTTATTAAGTGCGATGCGGAACGGAGGGACCCAATTCATTATCGACAAATGATCGCGGGCCCGCCGTCGCCGCCGTTGCTGACACCGTGGCTGGGTCGGCGGCGGTGGCGGCGGCCGGCCGGCAGGGACGAATTTGTCACCTCGCGCTTTTCATTCCGTTCTATTTTTATTTTTTTTTTGCCATTCTCATACGCTCGCACGCATCACTGGCCGTACATGACCGCACTTCGTGTACAGTCTTCTCGCACCGCCGACACATTATATTGTCTTCCGCGATGTTGTTACACGCCCAAACACCCCAAACGCACAATACGTATTGTATACGTGCCGTGTGTGTTACTAAACACGGACGTACACCCATACCGCGGGCGGCGCTACGACACGGAACGAACACATCACGGTCGTGGCCACCTGATTTGTCGCGGCCGTAAGCCTACATGTACACGGTGTTTGCTGTTCCCGGATCACGGTTATGGGCCTCTTGATTTATTTCACGCGATCTCCATTTTATTCCATGGTTTTTTTCCTAAACTCGAAACTCAACGATAGAAATATATTTGATGAATTTTCCGAGTTTCTTCCGACCGGAAAATATTTATTTTTTTTTAGTTGAAGATTAATTCAACTACATTTATGATGATCACAGTTAATGTGTATCCGTTAGAATTATTATTTTATTATAATTGCATTGTAACAATCTTGATTAACAGCTTATTTTTACGTTAAACGAATTTACGAATTTCGAGTACCTATACGTTATTTTACCAAATATACATTTAAATTATTATAATCGAAATCGAAACGAAAAAAGTGCAATATTTTATATATTTAATGTTTTTTACTGTATCATTTCTAATTATAAGAATCAAAATAGTAAAAATGTTCATAATTATTTTACAGTATTTATTATGTAATGCTTATTATGTACTAAACTTTTCTATTTTATAAAAATATTTTTATAATAATTTGTAAAATATTTGTTTATTAATAAATACCCGAAACATGATTGTTAATTTATTATCGATTATTTTTAATTGTATGAATTGTCTTTTCATATCATTTTATATATTTTGATTAAACTAGCTAGGTTGAAAAAATAATGTGTATGGATCTTTACTTCTATGCCAAATTAATTAAAACTAAACAAAAGTACTTTTTTTTTTTAAGTTACTTATATTTTATAGTTGATCAATCAACTATAACTAAAAATTTAAGTTGTGACCTAATAGTTAAATAAATTCAAAAATATAGTAAAGTGAACTTTTCAGTTAGTTGTAGAAGTACATAACTATACAATTAGTTACTATGACTACTTTGAAACTATGATTAAATTATAATTTTCAGCCGATCTCATATATACGTATATATATATATGTATTATAGGATATAGCCACCGAACATTTTGTGTCGTGGCAACGGCTACGACAAGACTTTCGAGCAACGGACCGAATCCGGGTCCCACGAGGTTCGCGCTTGCTACGCTGACGCCGGTGGCGGCCACGTGATTGATGTACGATAGGACAATGTTCGATTTCGGCATTGCCATTTCGACGATTGCAAACTCGAGTTAAAAGGAAAAATTACCCTTTTCCCCGCAAACATATATAAAGACTAATGTTCGCCGTATGTATTTCACATCATTTCCTTGGTAAACGGTGTAGTATGTGTATTATAAGTATACTTATTTTTCACTTTCATTTATTCGAACTACTGCTACCTTTTGTAGGATGACCGTTAACCGAGACTATGAACAGCTTTTGGCAAGTGCACTGGTGTTGAGAAATTCAGATAACAATGAAAATCCGAAATCGTGTACATCACAACGTTGTTTTGATTTATATTTTTTTTTATAATATTACAAACCTTATAGTAAATAATCCCTCGTTATAATTTTAAATATCGTTTAGTTAAGTACGTTTAAAGAATGTAAAATGTATGATGTATATATATAATATTGTATAAGCAATATATTTAATAATATAGTTATTTGAATATTGATATATATGATTCTAATATTACTCTATATTATGTATAAATATAACAAATATATAATTAATTGACTATTAATCAGAGTTCAAGTATATAACCCTTTTTATTTTTGTTTTTTTATTATTATTATTCTTATTTTTTTTCTGGATAACAATTCTCTGGATCATTTTCCTTTTAGTCTACGTGTTGTATCTGGTAAATCGACGGAAGAGAGGTTTGAAATTAGAGGATTTGAGTGTTATTGTAATTTTATATGGAACATTTAAATAATTTTGAAACTTGATTATGGATGGTTATTATTTTTAGATCATTATATTGGGCAGTGCTTTCCAAACTTTTTTGACTCACGGCACCCTTTTTCATCTTAGGTTTTTTCAGGGCGCCCTTCCCCAAGTCATAGCGTGATTAATCATAAGAAAAATGTTAGACCAGATAGTATTTCATGAGGGCATGGCGCGCCTCTGTACAGACATCGTGGCGCACCAGGGCGCCGCGGCGCACACTTTGGGAACCACTGATAAAGGGTTTGCTTATTTGCATCGGTGGGACATTGTTTATTGTTCTGAGGGATATTGATTGGAATGATTAAATGATTTTATGTTAGTTTTTGGAGTTTTTGAAAGCTCCATAGAATTGGATTCCGTAAAAGCCATGGGAAAGAGAAACAGTTTGTAAATAAATATTTTTTTTCAAGAGGAGGATTGGTTTTAATGAAGGTCGTAGTCAGTGAAGTCACTGGCTAAGTGGTTTTCCTTTTGATTTGATATGTGATGCCCATGTGAGGCATCTATCTAGATACATTCTAAAATATTTTACTGATTGCTCAGGTGGTATTTCTTTGTTATTGATATAAACTGGATGGCAATCTTGGTAACGTAATGTAAAAGTTATGTGGGACGATTTAATTTATTTGTAGTTGGTTAAGATGATTTTGAAGATGAAGGAATGATGTGTTCGGATTTGGATCAAAGGAAATTATACCAGTATCATCTGCAAAAGTTCCAAGAGTTGTGGCATTATTATGTGGGATATCTGAAGTGTAAATTCTCTACGGAGTTGGCACGAGGATACTTCCTTGGGGTACTCCAACATTAATAGAATGATAATTAGAAAAAGCGTCGTTATATGAGTCTTTAAAAGAACGATTGTTAAGGAAAAATTGAATTATTAAATAATAGAGAGTTGGTAGAAACCTAAGTTTATAAAAAGCCTAGGGTTCCAGCCGTGGTCGAATGTCTGAGTTACGTCTAGAAAAACTCCTGAGCAGTAATGTTTTTTTTTCCATGGATGACACAATAATATTAACAAATTAGTGTAATTGGTGAGTGGTTGAATGTTTATATTTAAAACAAATTTGTGTGTTAGGAATAATTTATGTTGGGAGTGATGTATAGGATGTATAAGGTTTGTTTAGTTTTTGAATTGGGATTATAGTAGTTTTTTTCCAGACTGTGAGGAAGTACGAAAGTCTTAGAAGCATTGTATATTTTAATTAAGAATAATATTGCTTTTTTGGGTAGATTTTTTAAGATACTTTTGATACTTATCGACTAAGGCTACACTACTGTTGAACCATGTGAATTTATAATCGTCGAGTATGTTATTGGAATCGCGTTATATTATTGTTGCGACCCGTTATGTATCAATGTTTTTTTTTTTTATATATATCGTGTATGATGTGTATGTGTTACAGAATTCAAATTCTCATTCTGATTTAATTTGTGTTTTTCGAAATGGTTGGATATGCGACACGAGTCCGCTAACTCGTTAGCCTTGATTTTCAAAGCTACGCCGCGCATCTCGTGGTTGATTCACAGATCTTAACACGACGAGTCAAGGATAGATTTAAGGTATCACGGATAACCTGAGTGACCAATGATGATTGACCCTGGACGCTATGGTATATGAGGGAAAGTGCGACGGAAACCTCAAGACCGGTATCCGCGAAAATATCACTCTGACCACTAGTGGTCAGATTGATACGTTGTAAGTCCCGTAATTTTTGCAGTCAGGAGCGCCAGTTGACGTGTAAACGTCCGGAAAATAATTTTTTTAATTCATCCCGTTCACGATGTATTTTTGATAAAATATTTGAACATTTAATAAAAAATATCTATAAAATGTGTTGTATTTTTTTATGCGTTGTACTTTCCGTTCATACTAACTGCTATATTTAGCAAATTACCCCATGGTTATGGGAACTCTACATTTATCGAGTTATTGTTTTATATTTTTTTTGCTGACTGAGTGCGTGCTTTTTTTTCAATACCCATCAATACCGTTTTTGAAAGCCGAAGGCTTCAAGAAATATCAAAAATAAATTTAAAAAGCCTTTTAACACATCAAAAAAATTAATGTTAAGTTTTTATTTATTTTTTCCAACAAAATTTAAACACCATATCTAGTTATAAATATTTATACAAAATAGTAATAAAAAAAAAAACAAACAGCAATTATTTGAACCTTTTTATTATTATTTCGTTTTTTATTTAAAATTTGAATGTAACAATAATTATTGTTACACTTCAAAAATAAATTTAAACGAAGATAAATTTACCAAACATTGGTCGAAATATTGTTTAAAACGGGTGGGTGTTTATTTACATTTCTTCAGTTTGTTTACTAAAGTTGTTTGAAGTTTCTTGAAAACTATGGGAAAACTCGAAAAATGGCCGCACTTTTCTAAAGTACGATTTGTGTTTAATTTACAGTCTATAAAAGTGCTGCGCATAAAGCTTTTTTATTGCTTTAAAAAATATTAACAAAAAATAAAATACATCATTGCAAAATCTATAATTTTTTCGCTCAATTTTTAGAAGAATAGATTTTTTAAATATTATAGGATAAAATTGGTTATTAATTTTTATTTGTAATAATTGCAATAAATATAATTTAAACTTAATTTAAAATTTTTAATTTTATTTAAATAACCTCAAAACTCATCTTATATTATATATGTGACGGTCAAAGTGTATAATCGGGCGTTGTAGTACAATGCCCAGCAATATATACAATGCCCAATTTCAATGGACAATGTGGACAATTATACACTTTGCCTGGGTATTGTATAGAATAACCAGAGCACAGTGGGCAATCACAATTAATTAATTAAAAATGTATAAAACAATTTTTGTTATCTTAATACTTTATTTTATGAGTATATTAACAAATTTTTTTATTTATTTTTACAACTTAAGCTATCATGGCATTTAGAAGTAGTTTACCTGCAGCCCTACACTTACATTTATTTGTCTTGCATTGCTGTTTATAGTTACACCGGTCATATCCTTGACCGCCAATATTTGAAAATTTTCTAGCTGTTTCTCTTAGTGATATCGGAGATGTTACTGGTACTGCTACAATCTGGACAAACGACTCTTTGCATATTTCAAATTGGTTTCTAGCATAAAGTTGTTGAAGTTTACCTTCAGTGGTACCAATTTCATAACTATTGTTTTTTACTGAAAAAATCAGGTTTTAGTTATAACATAATAAAAAAATAAAAATCATAATTAAAACTATCAGACATAATGACTCCTAAAATGGATCGCAGATCATTCCGTGCTTTATCAACATCAGGTATTCTAATTTTAACACTTTCGCCAATTTTGCCTTCACGAAGTCGATGTTCGGAGTTAGTCTTCACTTTTGAAGCTTGAACTTTTAAATTATGGAACGATTCTCTTCTTTTTTCAATTATAGTTTCCTGTCTTGATTGTATAATATCAGCTTGTTCTTCGTTAACATCAATATTTTCTTCAGAAGATGTATCAACAGATTTTTCAGTATTAATAGAGTTCAATGCGGTTTCTAAATCTTCATCAGTCTTCAGCTTATGTATAATACTTTTTGGTAGAGAAGTAGATTTCAAGCCTATTTTTGCCCGGATACCAAACATAGCCTCATAAGGAGAACACTTAATTTCGTAGTGTAAACTTCTGTTTTTCATAAATTGAATGAATTTAAGTCCCTAGCTCAATTTATTAGTTTTATTATCTGTTAACCAGGTGGCAAGCATATTTTCTACGTTCTGGTTAGCCCTTTCAACAGAGCCCTGACTTTTTGAATGCCGTGGCTTGCCATGTACGATTTTCAGTTCTTCCCACATACTGCATAACTCTTCAATAACCTTGTTAACAAATTCTCTACCGTTATCACTCTGTAAGATGCACGGAGCTCCAAATGTAGTAAAAATATGAAGTAATATATAGGCAACTTCTTCTGCGCATTTGTGTGTTAATGGATTAAGTAAAACATACTTCGTTAGGTGATCTTGATAAACTAAAATAAATCGATAATTTCCATCAGGTTGAGCTTGCATGTCAATCAAATCTACTTGACAACGAGAATTCATTTCTGAAGAAATTATTGGTTTAATAACTAGCCCTTTTTTCACAGTTTTACCTTTTCTTTGACATGGTTCACATAAATTTAAATATATCATTAAACATTCCCAAGTAATGTTTTTATATTTTGCGTTCAGTTCATGTTCCATTCGGTTTCTACCTCCATGTCCAGTTTACAATTGCACGTCATGAATTATTTTAAACAACTCTTGATCATAAACATAATATTTGATAGTATTTGGATCAGTTACCGGTACAATTAATTTTTCAATATTACTTACATTCATTATATTTTAGCGCTTTAATAATTTATAATCATTTGGTTTCAATTTTGCTCCATTTTTTAACTGTTTGACTTCTTCTAATTCTTCGCTGTATTTCACTTCGCTTAAAAATACATTATTCGAATTTTTTGTACTCAAAAGAACATTAAAATTTTCATAAAATTTTAAATCAGTCATTTTAAATATTAAAAAAAATAAATAAAAGTATCAAGAAAATTCAAAATAATATGTGAAAAAAATACAGCCTATCCGTACAATGGTGTAATTTCAACTGATCTGAAATTTTATATTATATCTCCGGTCTTTAATGTTGTCGGCAAACCCTCTGATAAAATTATCATGGGGTAATAAGCTATTAATGATTATCCATCCTTATTATACTCGTATTATTACAGATATCTAAACCATATAGGTATAGTATCGGCTGTTACAATACGTACAGTTATACCTAAAGTTAGATAACATCGTGGAGAAAATGTAATCGATAATCGTTATCGACGTTATCGTTGTAACGTTAAAGAAAAATTATACTTTATACATTCAGACGCGGAATCGCAGTAAACTTACATTGCCCACAAACAATTAAGCACTGTACACAATGCCCGGCTATTGTATTACAATGACCAAGCAATGTGCCCAAATTAAAAGCAGATTCAGTTTTGCCCAAATATGACGAGCATTGTGCACAATGCCCGAATTATACACTTCAACCGTAACATATATACTTATATTATACATCATCTTCCATGTACCCTTCTTTAACCAATAATAATATTAAAATGAAAAAATACAAAAAATTGAAAAAATTTAGCAAACAATTTGTTTTGTTCGAAACATTGTTGTACTTAATTTAGTCAATTTTTGAGATAGAAAAACATTTTAATTATCAAAGTCGCTGGAAAAAAAAATAATTGTATCAAAATATGGTGTTGAAAATAGGTGTTCCCATTTAAAAAAAAGTAGCACAATAAAAGAATTAAAAATATCAAAATTATTACAAAATGTGTATTTTAGTATTCCCTAGATCCTCGAATGTTCCCCTTCCAAGGTCACCATACCTAATTTGTATTCATAATTTATGTATGACTACGGAGAAATACGATAATAGTCAAAAAAGAAAAATATCTGATAGTTATATCATCTTATTTTAAAAAGTAAATTTTATAAAAACAAATTACTACAATATATTTTTTGAATTATTTCCTACTTTATCTCTTAGTTTTTTGAGTTTAGAAACTTTAAAACTGCAGTATTCAACAATTTAAGAATATTGATTATTATCGTTTTTCCCCGTAAGCTTTCATACATTTTAATATATATGAAACATAAGATATTTACGCGATAAAAAAAAACCTATAAAGCACTTAATTTTAATCATAATAATCACATTCACTTTATTAATTTATTATTATTATTAATATATCTAAAACGTATATTTATTACTAATATTATTACTATGATAACCACATTCAACGTATTGACTATATTATTATGGTATCATACGGCTAGAACAATAGAATGATTTTTAATGTTTGATTATTAAAAAAATAAAAGATGATATAAATATTATTTTCACAAACAAAAGCAAAAACTATATGACTTATAACATTTATACCTATTATTTCTTGCGAGTTCAATTTTTGAACAAAATATATTTTTTATAGTACTATTATTTCTGTCATTAAAATATTTATGTTTTCAGTATTAGTTCACATATTCTATATTGCTATTAGTATCTATACTGTCGATCGCTAATTCAACCATATTTCAATTTATACATGCCTTATAGCTAATATTTATTTTGCTGTTAAATAGTATTATGCATAATTATATTTCATGTTAACTAACATTGATTTCTAAATGTTCGTCATTTAATCAGGTTTATTAAATTTCGGAATTATAATAATTTTACAAAAGTGGAATTCGTTTGGATAACGATCGGAAGATAAACAAAACAGTTTAAACGTCAATTCATCCGAAACTGCAACCCAATTAACTAGGTAGCTGTTTACGCTGTTTCGACTAAATGTTCTTGTAAATAAGGCTAAATTTGTATAATTAAATTTATATACATACCGCACATCGACTAATTGTGCTTTAGTAATCCAAAAACAGCATGTGCACAAAATGAAAAATATCGTACATCAAATATATCAATCAATTTTCCGATATTACTGTCAATTGTTCTTTTCACTATACATCTATTAAAAAACAACTTTTGCCGTAAAAAACGATAAACAAATATAATATAATACACAGGTATTGATAATGGTACGGTAGACGTATATTATGTACGTGTATTTGGTAAGTTTATGAACTATTAATAAAATATATTTTAATATTCTTATTACTTTGCATAAAATTATGTATAATAAAAGAAAAGTTTTTAATCAAAAAAAATCATGGGTGCCAAATTTAAAATGTTTATACTTCTAAGTTTTTATGAATATTAAAATGCATAAGTAGTGTCTATAATATTTTAAAATAAAATGTTTTAATTTTATTTAAACTAATAGATTATGAGATAAAATCTGCATGTATACTTTGTATTAAATTAAGAATGCCTACAAAAATTTTACATGTTTATTTTTGAATAATTTTTCGAGTTATTCAGTGATTCTATACAATATCTCATAAAAATAATAAATGTTTTCTATATACTATTTTTTGAATTTCTTTCAAATTTACAAAATATACAATCAAAAGAACAATAAAGACAAACACTTAGACATATTTCTTACAGTTATTTAGTTATTTAATTGAACACCATTTAAATCTTGTTAATAGTTTGATAAAATAATTATTTTAGAATAATTAAAAAACTTTCAGTATTTGTTGGAGACATTTTTGCTAGACGTACAAACAATTCGACGTACAATATGAAGAAAATATGATGCTAGTTGCTATACATAAAACTAACGCAAACATTAGGACGAAAGAAATAAACCGAATAGCCATAAAGTAATACTCGGACTTTCGGAACGTAAAGAGAGTTTTTTCGTCAACGTCATTGGGAACGATCACACTCCGAACAATATTCGTCGCCGCACTAAAACCAAGTAGAGCTCAGGTGGAATACCATTATCATTATTCTATAAACAACAGACTCAATATCCAGGTCGAACTTTGCGTGGTGAGCATGCCTAATTATTTGGAACTAAGTGACGATAATAATATTGTGTTATTGATTTCTTAGACAAACCATATAGATATATAATTTCAGTAAAAATATTTTTCTTGAAATGCCCCGAGCTTATCTTTATTAAAGCATCCACAAGTTTTACACCCTCCTTCTCCTCATACTGCAATATTATTCGATAAAATCAATGCGCCGAAATTCGCGTGGTGAGAGCAGCTCGTTTATTGCATTTATGAATATATTATAATATTAGAGAGCGCGCGTATTCTTAATAATGAGGTAAACAATAAGGGCATAAACATTGACCGAGACATGCGCTTTGGTCCGCGTCGAAACCACTGTAAACTAACCGGGGGTGTACGAGGATATCGAAATTCGGACGCCTACCCCCATCCACCTAACGAGCACCCCTTCAAATCATGTCTATATATTTGTGTAACCGCAAGGTGTGTTTTTATGTGTGTGTGTGTGTGTGTGTGTGTGTGTGTGTGTGTATATATTTCACGAAACGGTTTGTACTGCATTCGTATTTACATATCTATGCGGTGCGCGCCCGACGTGAAATTTAATTAATTAAACCGCCTGCAGTTTATAATATGATATATATGTTCAGATTGCTTAATCAATGCGCGCGCCAAATATGGCGGCCAGAGAGCGGGACATCGGGGCATGCATACTGCGCATATTCGTCAACACGATTGTAATGTTACATTTGATATACGTGTAATATTATTGTACATATAACACGTATATATATAGGCACTGCGAGAAGGATGATATGGGATACACTTGCACCCCCTGGCTTTTCAAAAAAAAAAAAATAAATAAATAAATAAAGAAAAAAATTTCAAAATGTAGGAAAAAGGCCACTATTATCATTATTGGATTTTCTATTAGCCCATAATACTTTGCAATCATTGAAAAAAACTAAAATAACTTTAAACTGTCATACAATTTGAAAAAATATTCCCACGTATTTAACTTAAACAATTGTAGCATTATTTAAAAATCCACGTGAAATTATGCATGATGCACTCTTCAAAATTCCTGGCGACGCTTTTGTATATAATATATACATATATACATATTTTCACTATTTTGATATAAATACATATTTTTAAATATTTTACATTTTCATACTTCTACAGTTTTTATTTGTATTAAAATTATTATATTGAAATTAAATTTAAGAAGTTATTTCAAATCTTGATTCAGATACTGTAATAGTTATTATACAAGCTTCTGGTAGGCAGAGCCGGCTTAAGGTATAGGCGAACTAGGCACCTGCCTAGAGTGGCACTTTAGTTGGGACGGCATTTTCAAAATTGACTCGTACATTTTTTTTTTAGTTCTATCGGTGTTATATAAGAAAAATATTTAAATAAATTCATTTGTGAAAACCACTTAACTATAAATACAACAATATT